ATATAGAGTGCCATGGAGAGTTTTCAATAGCACCTATTGGCATTCTCATTCACTAGTATGGTCGTCTTTGGGTGTAAGTGAGGTGGAAAGTTATTTGGGCAATCCCATCTGGGACTGTTAAGATTATTGTAGAGCTTTGCTGCCTTCTTGAGAGCTCAGAGGACCCAAATTAAGGTGAGGATGGAAGTGTAGTAGAGCTACGTGATGCACATAAATTATTTGACTTGCTAAAAGTGGAAAAATAGCAGAAAAATTGGGGAGGGATTAGATTTACTATGTTTTGCTATAAAAGTGATACATGCACATTAAAGTCAGTTTGGGAAAATGAGAAAAGGAAAATCAGACACGGCCTTTCAACTGTAACAGTTGTTAAACCACATTTAGACACTTCCTCTTCCAATCTTTTGTCCACTGTTACTTTTGCTTTTAACATTTTTGTCATCCCACTGCAACTGCAGTTTAAAATCTTGCAACACCTCAAATTCTGATGAAATGTGTGTGGAGCAGGCATGGCACCAGTGTTGGGACTCTGGCTTGCATTTGCATCCTACTTCTGTTGTTTATTACCTAAGTGACTTTGGGCACAGTAATCTCTCGAGCCTCAGTTTCCTCATATGTGAGATGGGGAGCATACTTAAATCTACCTCGTAGAATTTTTATGAGGATTAAAGAACGAAATGCTACAGGCAAAGCTGTTCACAATGGCATTACCCAGTAAGTGGTGCTGTTTTTACAGGTGGAGTAACTGCACCAACCTAGATCATGGCATGCATGTAACCCCTAGACATTTGGAGAGGCAAGGAGGCCAGTGTGTTTCTCTCATTTATATGGCCGCCAGAGGTTAAGAGCCATGCATAGTGCTATGCAACCAGCCCAGGTAAACTTCAGGCATCCATTTCTTGGACATATTCTGTGATGTCTCAGCTAGTCATTCATCCCACATTTATTGAAGGCCTACTATGTGCTGGGTCCTTGGTAAGTACTGAGAGCTACAGGATGGCACGGTTGTCCCAATGTGGGTACCAGCCCTTACCAGCGCCAGCTCCCTGGCCACAGGGTTGCTGAGCACGGGGCTTGGTGCTGAGCTGGTTATCTCTTCTTTCACAAATATTCTGTATCCTTCTCACTCTAAATGCAAACTTGGGACTCCATGATGTTTAAAACAACAAAACAGAACAAAGCAAAGCAAATTCGCTTTCCCTTATTACTGAGCAACTGTTCAGAATCATCTCCTCTGCTCTACTTTTCACTAGCAGACTTCTTTCTGCTCTTCTTCATCCCTTTTTCAGGACCACTGTGAGAGTATGACCTTAGTACCCACCACTCCTCTGAAAGTGCTATCTTTAAGGTTACTGGTGACGTCCTCATTACCAGAGCCATTAGCCTTACCTCAGACCAGGCCTCCACACCTCTAAAGCAGAAAGCAGTGCTGTCCAATGGAACTTTCTGCTGTGTTCTATTCTGTGTTGAAATGTGGCAAGTGCAATTGGGAAACTGAATTTTTAGTTTTATTGAATTTTAATTAATTTAAATTTAAATAGTCACACATGTGGCTAATGACTACTATATTAGACAGCATAAGCTCTAGAACATTCAATACTGTTTCCACCCGTTTCTTTCTGGAAATCCTGTTTTTCTTAGCTTTAGTGTCACAGCATTCTTCTGGTTCCCTGTCAGCTCCTCTCTGTCTGCTCCTCTTACTCCTGCTGCCCACTAAAAACACCATCCCCAAATTGTCTGTGCTCAGCCCTTCTCCCTTCCCTGCACTCTCTTATCCAGTGCGGTCAGCCCCTGGGTTCTAACTATAAGCCACATGGAATGTCAATTCAACACGCTCTTGAGCCTTCACTCCCCTTTCTGGCTTTAGACCAGTATTTCCAACCCCAGCCTAATGTTGCCACTTGGGCATTCTGTAGTCAGTCACCTTGGACTGATCATGACCCTAAATGAAATCATAATTTCCATGTTCACCTAACCCCTCCTCCTCCACCTGGCTCTGCCCTTTTCTCTAATGACAACCCGTTGTCCTTTCCTCTTTGCATCATTGGTGACGCGCTGCTCTCTCTGTTGTCCCTCACTCCCTAACTCTTGTGGAGTCTTGAGATTCCTCTTGCACAGTCCTTTGCTTTCATTCTCAAGGGCTCTCCCTCTTTTTATGATTATAAAAGCAACAAATATTTATTATTGAAAATTTCCTAGATTATTCAGAAACACACACACATGCACACACAAACACAGGAAAAAAAAAAAAAAAGAAAGGAAAGAAAAGCAAACTTGCCATGATTCTAACCAGGCAGTGAACCATGTTTAATTTTTTTTTTTGGGGGGATATGACTTCCCGCATTTAACCTCTCGTAACCTCTTGCCTGGATTACTATGGCTGTGAACCCTCAGTGTCTCCCCACTCTAATCCACTGCTATTTCTCAAGTCATGATTCTGATTGTGTCATTCCTCTGTTCCACTCATAAATCTCCAGAGGCACCCAGTTGTCTACTGAATTAAATTTGTCCCTACGGATGGGGCGTCATGCCAAGCCGACCTCTGCTTTCCTAGCACTCAACAGCCCCATACGGGAGACATTACTGACACATTACAATGAGAAACACAAAAGCAGGAAGTCATAGTATCAGTTATGTTTATGAATAGATACCTACTTATTTTGGCTTACATTTATTAAGTGCTATTGATTGCATTCTTTTTTTCTAGAAAACAAAACTCCAAAGTTATTATCTTTTAGATTGGAAGACAAGTTTACTGTACTGGATTTCACTTCTTTCAAAATCCCAGTTTTTCCCATTTTAGTAACAGAGATAGTTGCTGTTTCCAGTTGTGTGTATATTTTCTAATTACACAGCATAGCACCTGATAGGGTTAAGTATTTCCTGTCTTATGCCCCTGGAGAGAAGTCTTTTCCAGAGCTGAGAAACTCTGACCCTCTTTGTCTAAGAAACATCACTCTTGCTGAGTCTTGAGAGCTTAAGTCAATTAAAAATGAATCAATAAGTATTGATTGCATGCCTCCAAGAAATGGGTTCCTCCATGGGAAGATGATGCTCTGGACATTCTTAGACTTTGGGGTCTTCCTGGCAAATGGATTTGACCCCTTAACAAAGGCCATGTTGTCTGTCTTGAGCACCCAGGGGGTTTACCCTGGCTGAGGCAGTGACACGCAGCTCACCAGCTCTCATGCTGTGGCCTCCTCAGTGTTTGGGAGGTTTCATATGGGAGGAGGACTTTGTCAAGTTTTGTTTGGTGGCTTGAAATTTAATCTTGTGCTCACTGAGAACAGACCTAGCCCTTAATGAATTCTGTCCTCAGCTCTGTCTTATTTATCTTTTAACAGCTCCCTGGCACATAGTAAGCAATTAATAAATGGCTGCTATTATTAGGATTATGATCATACAGAGGCCTCCACAAACAGATTCTTTGTCTCTGCCTGTTCTCATGCTGCCTGCTGGATGTTGTGCACGTTTTCACCTTCGCCTGTGCCACGGGCTCTGGCGAGCACACTTTCCATCCTCCTGTCCTCCTAGTCACACATTTAGGACCAGGCTGGTCCTCCTCTTCACATGAAACCTTCCCTCATTGGATCTGGTAGCCTCTTCCTCTATACTCTGCATTGTTTCTTTGTTCCCCCAAATTCCTCCCCCCATAGTAAGCTAACCGTTATCCTGTAATCACCTCAGTTGTTTACATGTCCACCTCTAAGTCCTCTCTTGAAAGTGGTGGAGACTGTTTAAGACACTTATGATATTGACTGTGATGGCCGTCATAGACCTTTGGTTATAGTTCAGTTAATCCATATTTGTCTGACTAAGCTGTAAGAGAAATTCCAAGGCCATCAGCTCTTTACTGAACGTTTTCTGTAAGAGTAGAGCAAAGTGCCATGGAGCCCTGGCCTCACACTCCAGCACCGTCCTCACTGCTCGGCCGCTAGCCTCCTGCCACCTGACGTGGACTGGGGGCTCAGCTTGAACAAATGACTTTGGTGTTGGACTCCAGAGGTTGAATTCCTTGTTGTATTTCGAGAGATCTCTAGGGATCATAATGACAATTCATAGAAATAGCAGCTTATTGTCAGAAGTTAGAGGTCCACATTTCCTTTTGGAGCCCTGCAGGCCATGTGTTTTCTCAGAAATGAAAATAAACAGCAGAGTAATGATATTATCCATGTAATTTGCCTTTGCTTTTGTGAAGGGGAGCAGTGGGACAACAGCTTCTCAATGCCTCTGTTTCCTCATCTGTAAAATAGAGAGGGTAATTGTAGCCCTGTCATGGGGTCTTGTGAGGATTGAGTTTCTACGTATGAAGTGCTCAATAAATATAGCTTTTATTATATATTGGCTCAATAAATGTTAGTCATTTTCATTTTGTTACTATTGATGCACCGATGAACATTGTCCAATAAATCATTTTTATGATGTTGCTGGCACTAGAGAAATACAAACTCTCACACCCACCCAAGCTACTTCTCATGCTGAAGAGATCCCAGAAAGATTTCAAGAAATATCAATAATCTCAAACGTTTTTGTTTTAACAGTGCCAACTTTATCACACTTGTGCATATCCGTTGTCATACACAGCCATTCCTGCCACTCCACACCTACATAACATCAGCAACAACGTGTTTGACCGCCACAGTTGACTGTAGGTATAAAAGACTTAAGTGTGAATGAGAAGGAATAAAGCTTACTTCTTACGCCTGCGGTGCTGCAGTTCTTGGGGGCTGAAAATTACAGTCACATGGTTATTATAAGGCAATTAACTCCACAGTGCTTTTCTTTCTCTCCCACTTTTCAAAGGAACACGTGTCCAAAGGGCCTTCTCCTCCTTTGAGGATGGTGACATTGTCACATTATACCCAAGTGCAAAACTATGACAATACCTCTTGCCCCGGCTGCCAGGAATAACATGTCGAGACACATGGCAGTTGAAAAGAGAGAATGGCCCCTTTATGGTGACTGGCTTGGAATTATAAATATTTTTATTTCTCCCGTAGGAGATGGCTCGTGGAAGAGAGGAGACAAACACGACTTTGAAGCTAAGCAGGCATACTCATCCCTCCAAACAGTCACTCTACTGAGGACAGTGAAACCTGAGTTTGAGAAGTTTTCCATGGAGGTGAAAAGTTCTGTTGAGAAACAAGGACTCAATGAGGAGGATTACGTAAGTGCTTGATTATGAGCCTAGACCTTTAGCATTCTGAAAACATTCTAATTAAATCAGAGGTGACAAAGTGTCCCATTCTTAACCATTCAGAAATT